GGTATTTACCCCATTTTTGGGTCCCCAAATTTTTCAAAAAAGGGGAATCTGGGAAGGGCAAAAAAAAGTTTTAAAGGGGGTTTGGGGAGGCCCCGTTATTAGGAAAAACAACAAAAAAATTAAACAAACCCCCCTCTCTAAAGAAGGGTTTACATAAGGGGGGTATAATCGCAATATCATTTTGTTTAAATGGTAAACCTATGGTTTTTGGGAAAAAACTTTTAGATAAAAAATCTCTGGGGAAAAAAAACAAACCCCAACCAACACTGACGTTGGACAAGAAGCAAGTTACAGAACGTTATGTGTATGGGATCTCTACTTAGGTGGTAAGGATGTGTGCATGCTTTGGCCACAGGATGGAAGTGTCCAATCGAAAGATGTGTACCGAAACAAAACCTTTTCGATGAAGTTTTCTTAGCGAACATTGAAATGTATTGGAATAGGGCAAAATGGAGTCGTGAGCATAATCACAATCTGGCTGGAATTTGTTGGACTAGTGTACTTGTCTATTCAGCTTTGCCAACTATGACAATGGGACCCTTTAAAAGGACCTTACAACACATACCTAGGAAGGACGGACTTACTCGACCTGGGCAGACCGCTCAGAATGCTGCACATGAGAGCGCACAGTCACAATTTTTGGGCACTCTGGCATACATGCAAAAACAATAATTTTTGCTAACCCTAGCACTATCCAGATAACGTGGCAGGCAACATTCTTGGTTTTATATTCCTATTTTGGCCCATAGGCGCCATGTTTGGGTGCTTGGGGGTGCTATAGCACCCCCAAAAATATTACTAACCACCCACCATCTTTTTGGCAACCATACTATATGGCAACGTGACAGAATCAGGCCACCATCAGGTCAATTGGGAGAATCCAATCAGGATCTGCCTCCTTGACAACTTTTCCTTGCTCCCCGCGATCAGCTTACTAAGAACCTGGCAGCCCATAGAGGCGTCCTCTTACATCTCATCGACTGTATACAATGGATGGTAGGTGTGGGGAGGAAGTGTGTGGCCAACTTGTCCCCAACATACACACGATGAGCCACACTTAACTGGAAAATGGGCTGGAGATGACTGAGACAGGAGAAGAATAACAGATGGCAGCCCAGTAAGCTCATGTGGTAATTGACTGACGGAGTGAGAAGGGTTTTCTGATCAAATTCCTCTATCTGTAATAACTTCAGCTTCCTACCTTGCCACATTAACAGCTTGGAAGGGAACTGCTTCCATTGTATACTGCCCCAGCTACAGTGGGGATCGAAAGTTTTGGCACCCCAGCTAAAAAATTTGTATTAATGTGCATAAAGAAGCCAAGGAAAGATGGAAAAATCTCCAAAAGGCATCAAATTACAGATTAGACATTCTTATAATATGTCAACAAAAGTTAGATTTTTATTTCCATCATTTACACTTTCAAAATAACAGAAAACAAAAAAAATGGCGTCTGCAAAAGTTTGGGCACCCTGCAGAGTTAATATATTGTACTGCCCCCTTTGGCAAGTATCACAGCTTGTAAACGCTTTTTGTAGCCAGTAGTCTTTCAATTCTTGTTTGAGGTAATCTTTGCCCATTCTTCCTTACAAAAGTCTTCCAGTTCTTTGAGATTTCTGGGCTGTCTGTCACGCACTGCTCTTTTAAGGTCTATCCATAGATTTTCAATTATGTTGAGGTCAGGAGATTGTGAAGGCCATGGCAAAAACCTTCAGTTTACGCCTCTTGATGTAATCCCCCGTGGATTTCGAGGTGTGTTTAGGATCATTAATCCATTTGTAGAAGCCATCCTCTCTTTGTACTTCAGCTTTTTCACAGATGGCATCAAGTTACCATCCAAAATTTGCTGAAATTTTATTGAATCCATTTTTCCTTCTACTCGTGAGATGTTCCCTGTGCCACTGGCTGCAACACAACCCCAAAGCATGATTGATCCAACCCCATGCTTAACAGTCGGACAGAGGTTCTTTTCATTAAAATTCTGTGCCCCCTTCTTCTCCAAAACGTACCTTTGCTCATTCCGGCCAAAAAGTTAAATTTTAACCTCATCGGTCCACAGACTTTGTTTCCAAAATGCATCAGGCTTTTCTATATGTTCATTTGCAAAGTTCAAAACGATGATTTTTTGTGGTGAGGAGGTGAGGAGAGGTTTTCTTCTGATGACTCTTCCATGAAGACCATATTTGTACAAGTATCTCTTTATAGTGGAATAGTGTACCACAACTCCAGTGTCTGCCAGATCTTTCTGGAGGGATCGTGCAGTCAAACGTGGGTTTTGAATTGTTTTTCTCACAATCCTGTGAGCTGTTCTGTCTGATATTTTTCTTGGTCTTCCAGATCTTGCTTTAACTTCCACTGTTCCTGATGACTGCCATTTCTTAATTACATTCCGAACAGAGGATACTGACATCTGAAAACGCTTTGCTATCTTCTTATAGCCTTCTCCAGCTTTGTGAGTGTCAACTATTTTCAGTTTCAGTTTTCTAGACAACTGCTTAGAAGAACCCATGGTGCTGATTGTTGGGACAAGGTCAGATGAGTCTGGGCATTTAAAACCTTTGAGATTGACATCACCTGGTCTTCCCAGACGATGATTGAGAACAATCCATGACAATGGCAGGTCTCAGCTTTGCAAAGGGGGCAGTGCATGCTATAAATTCTGCAGGGTGCCCAAACTTTTGCAGACGCCATTTTTTTCGTTTTCTGTTAATCTGAAAGTGTAAATGATGGAAATAAAATCTAACTTTTGTTGACATATTATAAGAATGTCTAATCTGTAATTTGATGCCTTTTGGAGATTTTTCCATCTTTCCTTGGCTTCTTTTTATGCACATTAATACAAATTTTTAGCTGGGGGTGCCCAAACTTTCGATCCCCACTGTACATATACTGCCCTCACTCCCATACTGCTTCCACTGCATACTGCTCACTGCCCCATTACATATTGTCCCAACTATATACAGTTGTGTTCAAAATAATAATAGCAGTCAGAGACATCACTAACCTGAGCAAATCACTGTTTTTGGTAGAAAATTAAATTTCTACATGGCAAATAATTTCTAGCAGGTGTAGTAGAGTAATAGAAATCCAACAGACCCAACAGTCATGACATGCATGCTGCTGATTCTGTGTAATTGAATCACTAATTGAAAGGGGCATGTTCAAAATAATAGCAGTGTGGAGTTCTATTAGTGAGATCATTCATTCTTTGAAAAACAGGTGGCAATTATTGCCATTATTTAAGGAAGGAAGGCAGCAAATGTTGTACATGCTGGTTACAGTGCATTTCTCTCTGAAATTCTGAGGAAAATGGGTCATTCCAGACACTGTTCAAAAGAACAGCGTACCTTGATTAAAAGTTGATTGGACAGAGGGGAAAACATATAAAGAAGTGCAGAAAATGATAGGCTGCTCAGCTATAATGATTGCAAATGCTTTAAAATGGCAACCAAAACCTGAAAGACGTGGAAGAAAGCGAAAAACTACCATTTGAATGGATAGAAAGAATAGCCAAAATGGCAAGGACTAACCCAAAAAAATCAGCTCCAGGATGATCAAAGAAGGTCTAAAGTTACCTGTGAGTACTGTTACAATTAGAAGACACCTATGTGAAGCCAAAGCTATCTGCAAGAAGCCCTCCGCAAAGTCCCACTGTTGAAAAAAGAAGACATGTACTGAAGAGGTTATAAAATTTGCCAAAGAGCACATTGACTGGTCTAAAGAGAAATGGCGCAACATTTTGTGGACTGATGAAAGTAAGATTGTTCTTCTTTGGGTCATAGTGGCCGGTGACAGTTTGTCAGACGACCCCCAAAACACTGAATTCAAGCCACAGTACACTGTGAAGACAGTGAAGCATGGTTGCGCAAGCATCATGATATGGGGATGTTTCTCATACTACGGTGTTGTGGCCTTTTTATCGCATACCAGGGATCATGGATCAGTTTGAATACATCAGAGATACTTGAAGAGGTCATGCTGCCTATTGCTGAAGAGGAAATGCCCTTGAAATGGGTGTTTTCCAACAAGACAACGACCCCAAACACACCAGTAAACGTGCAACATCTTGGTTCCATGACCAACAAGATTGATGTTATGGAGTGGCCAGCCCCAATCCCCGGATCTTAATCCATATAAATGAAAACGCTTTTGGGGTGACATCAAAAAATGCAGTTTCGGAGGCAAAACCAAGAAATAGAGAAGAACTGTGGAATGTTAGTCCAATCATTCTGGGCTGGAATACCTGTTCACAGTGTGCCAATAAGTTGCAACAGAGTATGTCACATGCAACAGAGATGTACAGCAGTTCTCAGAAACAGTGCTTATACAACTAAATATTAATTGATTCAAAGGAAAGCAAATCTTCAAAACATTTTTCTTTTAATATTTTTAATTTGAAAGACAGTCTAATATTCACTTTTTCTTCAATTTTTTTTAGAGGAACAACACAAATTTGTATGATATATTTTTCTTCATGTTTTGATATTGGAATAGAAATGTGTAGTTGTTCCCAATGCATTTTGTGTCATGCGAAATAAAATATGGTAATTAAGAAGGATTTTTGAGCTTTATTCACTTTTTGTCAACACACTGCTATTATTTTGAACACAACTGTAACTTCTCACTGCCCCCACTCCATACTTCCCCTTCTACATATACCTCCCCCAACTGCTATATATGCTCACTGCTCCAACTTCATATACTGCCCCCAGTCCCCACTACATACCTGCTCACTGCCCAACTACATATTGCCCCCACTGTATGACTTCCCTGCACCACCATACTTCCCCGCCACTCCATATAGCTCGCTGGCCACTTTGATTAGTCACCTTGCTAGTACGGGTTGGACTTCCTTTTACCTTCCAGAACTGCCTTAATTCTTCATGGTATAGATTTAACCAAGGTGTTGGAATACATTCCTCAGACGATTTTGGTTCGTTTGTGACATGATAGCATTACACAGTTACTGCAGATTTGTCGTCTGCACATACAGTTGTGTATCAAAATAATAGCAGTGTGTTGAAAAAAGTGAAATAAAGCTCAAAATCTACTAATAGCTTTATTTCCATACACAACCAAATGCATTGGGATTACTATCAACTATTCTATTACTAATCAAACATGAAGAAAAATATATCAAATGTGTGTTAGTACTCTCTAAAAAAAAATTGAAGAAAAGTGTATATTAGACTGTTTTCAAAAAAATAGCAGTGTTTGGTATTTTTACTTTACAAAACTCAAACATTCCACTCTATTAACTGAAAAATATTTGAAGATTTTTGGCCTTTCCTTTGAAATCACTTAATTAAATATTTTAAGTTGTATAAGCGCTGTTTTCTGAGAAACTGCTTGTACATCTGAGTTGCATGGATTCAAACCATACCTTCTGGCAACTGTGGAACAGGTATTCCCAGCCCAGGTTGATTGTACATACAATTCCACAGTTTCTTCTCTCATTTCTTGGTTTTGCCTCCGAAACTGCATTTTTGATGTCACCACCAACAAGTTTTCTACTATTTGGATTAAGATCCAGGGATTGGGCTGGCCACATCCATATACTGTCAATCTAGTTGGTCTTGGAAACCAAGATGTTGCAGTGTTTACCTGGTGTGTTTGGGGTTGTTGTACTTGGTTGGAACACCCATTATTCAAGGGCCATTTCCTCTCAAAGCATAAGGCGCATGACCTCATTCAAGTATTCTGATGTATTTCAAACTGTATCCATGATCCCTGGTATAAAGCGATAAATAGGCCCAACACCGTAAGTATGAGAAACATCCCCATATCAAGATGCTTTGCGCAACCATGCTTATCACTGTCTTCACAGAGTACGTTGTGGCCGTTAATTTCAGTGTTTGTGGGTCTCTGACAAACGTCTCTAGCCACTAGACCCAAAAAGAACAATCTTACTTTCATCAGTTCACAAAATGTTTGCGTCATTCTCTTTAGGCCAGTCAATGTCTTTTGGCAAATTGTAACCTCTTCAGCTCAGCCTTTTTTTTTAACAGTGGGACTTTGGGGGGCTTCTTGAGTACTTGGCTTTTCATAAGCTCTTCTAAATTTTACAGTACTCACAGGGAATTTTAGACCTTCTTTGATCTTTCCCGGGGCTGATTTTTGGCTGATCCTTACCATTTTGGCTATTTTCTATCCATTCGAAATGGTTTGTTTTTCCACGCTTTTAGGGTTTTGGGTTCCATTTTTTAAAGATTTGCGATAAAATTTTTGCTGAGCACCTACTTTTCTACTTTTTTAAAAGTTTTTTTCCCCCTCCAATCAACTTTTTTTAAACAAGGTACGCTGTTTTTTTGAACAATGTCTGGAAGACCCATTTTCCTCAGAATTTCAGAGAGAAATGCACGTAACCAGCTGTACAACATTTGTGCCTTTTCCCTTTCCCAAATAAGGGCAAAAATTTTCCCCCGTTTTTCAAAGAATAATGATTCACAATAGAA